AAATCTGCTGCCTATCTTGAAAGGCTTATCAATAGATTGAATAGGTGGTGTGGGTTCCTATTTCCTCCTTCCTTTTGTCTCTCACTTGTTTCAAAGTTTGGTTTCTGGTAGTGATAGTATAGATATGGATTAACAGATATAGACATACACACCCAAGGACTCAAGGTCATGGAAACAACAGATCCAACAGGGATCATCCATGGGCTGAGCAAGGGACTCCATCTCCAGCATTGAGTTGTATGTGTGTGTGTGCTCAGTCGCTTCAGTTTTGCCAGACTCTTTGTGACCCAATAGACTGTAGCCCACCAGGCTCCTCCGTCCATGGAATTCTCCAGGCAAGAATACTGGAGTGGGTAGCCATCCCTTCTCCAGAGGATCTTCCTGACCCAGGGATTAAACCTGGGTCTCCTGCATTGCAGGATTCTTTACTGTCTGAGAATCATTTACCTGGGAGTTACCTGGCCTTTATCTGTTGTTACAACACTGGAGAATTACCTGACTTGTAAACATGGAAGTATCTAACGGCAGAGATGATGAGTAACAAAAGTTTGGCTTAGACATTTGATATCTCGATATACATATAATTCACAATTATTTCAGAGGATCACCTGAAACCCATTAAATAATGGTCACTAGGTTAGTCACAGAGAATGGACTGAGTTAGGGGAAAAGGCCATTGCGAAGGCCCTAAGATCAAAGTGAGATGAGCTGGGTGAAAAATAAACCCCCTGAAGTTTATAAGGGATGACCCACAGACCCAGCTCATTCATACCTTGGTCCTCCAGTTCAGAGTCCATTACCCACGCTCAGTGTGGGCTCTGGGAATGCCTTTGACTTCTTGGTTGCTTTATCAAAGCTGTGTTGGCCACTCTTCATCAAGAGCTAGACTTGACAGTAATTCTTAAGTGCATCTGGCTGTCGAAATTTCATCCTCCCCCCTCTACGTCTATGTGAGAACTAGACACGTGTAAGACTCTGAAAGCTGAAGCTGCCTCAGTTGTGGCAGGGGAGGGGTCTCAGTGGGTTCTTGTCACCTCTTTTTGATGGCACTTGGTAAACTCTTGACTCCAGGGCCATCCCGGGTTGTAAGAACTCCACCTCATTATGCCCTTGGCTGCTATTACCACAGTCTCCGGGTCAGCCTGGCTCAGGACTTAGCCTCTGACCTGTCTCACCTCATCTCAGTTAATCCTCACAACACCCTTGGTCCTTATAAAAGTGGAGTGATTTACCTGGTCACAGAGCGAGGTTCACTACCTCCCCAGCCCCCACCTTCACTTCCAGTGGCCTGGGCCCTGGCTCTGCCCCAGGACTGGGTTAAGTAGCAAAGGCATGAGGCATCTACCCCCAAAGGCAAGCTCGAATAAAGATTTCTGCTGGCTAAGGCTTGCAAATGTTAAGAAAAAGGAAGCTTTCTGATTCTGGGTCCCTACCACGGTGGACGCTTTCATCTAGAGGCTGGAAGTGTGTGTGCCAACAACTCTCTCCCCCCAGCAACCACGCATGGGAAGGTTTGACAGAACGCAATTCAAACAGGCACTCATTAGGCAGCAGGCCCACTGCTGCTTAATCACAGGCAGTGAAAGAGCAAAGAATTTGGATCAGCCTTTCTGGGTCCTAGCAAAAGCCACTCCTGGTGGGGTCCAGTCCTTACAAAGGTTGTTTTCTAATGATGTGCCCCTTAGAAGGGCTGGAAGGAAATTTAGCAGTATTTAGAGCCCCTCAGCCTGGGCTTCCCAGGTGGCACTAGTGGTAAGGAATCCACTTGCCAATGCAGAAGACACAAGAGATGCTAGTTCGATCCCTGGCTCAGGAAGATCAAATTAAACATCAATGAAACGTTGTTTACTGAACACTCACATGTGCCAGGCACAGGGCCAGGTGCTGCTGCGGATATGGAGGTGATGTCACTGGATGATAAGCACTTTGTGAATTTAGAAGATGGGTCCAGCCAACTAGAAAGCCTCTTCTGCCATATGCCCTTCCAAATGCCACAAAACCACACCTTTGCAAGGACTTTGATGAACTCCATCCACAGCTTGGCACTGAGGAGTAGATTCTTCTCTTGCACAGTTCCCTCTGCCTAGAGTAGTGCCGTTTCTCTTCCTTCAATACCAAAAGCCATGTCCTTCTGGACTGATTCAGCAGCCACCCCTTCTAGGACACAGACAGCCTTAGTCAGGTGGGGGCGCCCAACCTGTGGGCTGCCATGAACCTGTTCACCCACCACTCAAAGCTGCCTACTGTCTTTGTCTGTTCCCATGTCTGTTTCCCCAGCCTGCACTGAAATGACAGAGGTGGCACCTACTAAAAGCTTCAGGATTGAACTGACCCTCTCTGGGCTGGGGGTACATCTCCTAAATCAGGTCTACAGAGCATAGGATTGCTGAGAGAGCCCACCTAGCTCTGATAACCCTAACACACAGATCTTTGACCTAGAGAAAGGCTGCTGGAAGGACATTCACTTCTGGGAGCCTGGTGGTCTCTTCCTTGATGATTTCCAATCAGGTTTGCAGGGGAAGCTGTTTTTCTTGGGGAATCTGCATGATTTGAGACCGAGGTAAGCCTTACTCTTCCAGTTACTTTTACAGTTGCCCTGAGAACCTCTGGGCTTTAAAATCTTAGAAAACATAGCCAGCTAGGGGTTCACTGGACTTGGGGTTCACTCCTCAGTCACCTAAAGGTGGTTTCACATTGGGTTATAAACTGTCTGGGCTGGTTTCCTCACCTGTAATAGGAACATTAATTCACACCTCCGGAAGTGTGAATTCAGTGAGATATTCCATCTAAATCAGCCAGCACATGCCCACACCATGTATATTGCTTTGTATACATAGTGATTGTGACTCACTCACGAAGGAGTGTTGACCTAAGAGAATGGGTGAGTTCCTGGCTGGTGGGAGGTTTGAGTTTGAGGCTGGTGGGCCTCAAACCCCGGATGGCAGGAAAAATCATCATTTGCCAGACCCCACGAGTTTAGTTAAATACGCACAATTTTATTGATTGAAGAGATTAGGACAAAAACATTAACCGAATACAGGACAAAGCACCAGAGGCCATAGATTCCCACCATGCATGTCACCAATCTTTCCTCCAACAAGGTACTTAAAAAATAAGGGAGAGGGAAGAAAAACAGGTCCTTCTTAACTCAGCCCCATCTTCAGAATGTAAAAAACCCTCTCTCCTTTTTTATCTCCTGTTATCAAAATAGAATCCAGAGCAAATCCATGGCCTCCTTGTCTCCTGACGATGAATGGTTAAGCCGCCCTCCTGGGAACGTGAGGCCGGGCTCCTGCTAAGTAGAAATAGAGCATCCAAGGTCTGCACATACATGCCACATACTATAATGAAGCACAGATTCAAGTAACATTTACATACTAGAGTCCACGTGTCACCTACCCAAAAACATGACCATTTCACAAAACATATACAGGCAGTAAAATCCGAACAACTGAGGTACTGGAAACACAAATATTGATGCCAAAGAGTTCTGTATCATACAGCAATATAGAAAAGCCATAACAGATAAAAAAATAAAAAGAAAAACATTTGCCACTCGAAATCAAATAAAGCTATCTAGAAAAGCCAAATAAAAGGTTATTTCAGGGACAGAAATACTCAAACAAAGAAGAAAATATATATATATAAATGTTAACTACAGCATGTAACATGTTACCCAAGTTAACCCGTAATTGAAGTACTGGCTTAATACATCACAATGTGACATTTTCCTTAATAAATAGAAGAGTTCTTGAAAAATACAAAGGTGCGTATGGGGATAGAGAGCTGTTTTTTTTTGTTTTTTTTGTTTGTTTTTTAATATCGTCCTAGCTTTCAGCTTATTTTCCTTCCTGCTTGTCTCAACTGAGGGTTTTTGTCCAAACCAGAGGGCCTCCCAAGCTACAATAATCATATTCCATAAAGAAAATGCAATAGCTGCCCTGTATTTCATACATGTGGGACAACCTGCTTCATTTCATGAGTTGCCAATAAAGCAAAGACAAAATGCTTAGTTGAGATCAGAGTGTTACAAGAGCTTCAGACTCCAACAGCATCTGGAATCTCACTCCATCACTAACATCTCAGCAAAAAGGCATGCCTGTGATGCAGCCCTCGTCATTCACCAAAAAAAAAAAACAAAAAAACCAATAATAATAAAAATAAAATTAAAGAGCTGAATTTCTCTTTTCCTTTCATTTTTCTTTCTTTAAACTATGACTGCAATGATGCATCTGGAAGTTTGACTTCTAAGAGCTTCCTGCCACAAACCAATTGACACAGAACAGAATACTGGGTTACAGGACAGGTCTGTTTTTTCCCCACTTCAGGGAGCAAAGCACTGAACGTGTCATTTCCTGACCAGGATATTCAATAGTTTAGTTAGAAGAAATGAGTTGAAGAGCGCAATTAGGAGACACAAACTGGACTTTTATTTTCTTTTAGTTTTAGCACCCAGGTTTCACATCAGTCTGTGTGCACCGAATTTTTTTTTTTTTAATGAACCCCGTGAATTATCAGATAGGTGGCTGGCTTGTTTAAAAAGAAAATAAAAAACAAAAAACCCTTGGCCAATGGTACCTTCCCTGAATCATGACAAGAAGTTAAACGCTAACAGTGCGATGCCAAGATGTGTGTTTGAGGCAGAGTTTTGATTCTATCAAGATTTGCAACTATTTGGAACAAAATGGAAAGGGGGATAGGCGGAAGCAGCCCAGCTGATAGGGGTGGTCTCCCGGGGGGCTCCGTCAGGCAAGAGAAGCTCCAGGGGGCTCCTGCCCACCCGACAGGACCCTGGAGCCCGCCTCCATCCCGCGTCTCTGGCACCCCTGCTACATGTTCAGTCAGCTCCTTGACAGTTTTCCTTCTTTGAACCAAGAAGCCTGTGAGTGTCCGTGTCCCTCTTGCTACCAAGCCAGGCGATACGTGTTCCCTGGAAGAACTCCTCTCCGCTGCCCTCTCTCTCGCTTCTGGTACCTGCTAAGTCCCCGTGGGGTGTGAGCTCAGTTAAAGAAAGGGTCCAAGGTCTCCTCCATGTTGACATCCGGCACCAGCTGATCAGACACTTCCTTAGCACCATAGCCTGAATTCGAGACGCTAAAATCTGTAGAAAACCAAGGATGGTCCAGAATCTCCTGGGAGGTCAGCCGCTCCGAGGGCTCCCGCCGCAGGATGCTCCGGATGAGGCACTTGGCCTTGGGCGACAGAGTCTCTGGAATGTTGAACTGGCCACGCCGGATCTTGCTGAAGAGGGAACTGGGCTCAATGTCATGGAAAGGGTACCGCCCGACCAGCATGGTGTAGAGCATCACTCCCAGGCTCCACACATCAGCTGCTTTGCCCGAGTAGCTGCCATTGGTGTTCAAGATCTCCGGGCTGACGTAGGCTGGACAGCCGTGCTTGTCGGAGAGCGAGTCGTCATCTCCCCGCAGAATATAAGCATCTTCCAGGCTTTCCAGCTTGACCCGAGTCCTGCAAGAAAAGGAGCAAAACATGAGCTTGTAAGGATGCTCTGAGCCCCAGGAATCCCACCATTATGTCGCAGCTTCCATTTGAACCTTTCCAAAGACCCTTATTCATTTATTGGACCAGTCAAACACTGTTTACTGGGCACCTTCTAGGTGGCGAGACCCTGATCCAGGGCTGGGGAGCCAGGAGGCAAAGAATTTGCCTGAAACTTTCGATCCACTGGCGGACTGAAACCGTCAGCAGGTAGATAAATCACAAATAGATTATTACCTCCTCAACTTAGTCAGGAAGGAACAAGAGATTAAAAGTCACACGGGGTGATGATGGGGAGTCACAAGATTTGAACTCAGATCCAACCACCTGGGAAACTCACACAATCTCTGTCCATAGCTTCTGGCAAACTTGTGACTAACATGATACACAACACAGGAGCCAGGATCTTTCATTCAACAGTTTTGCTTCATTTCAACACTCCTTTACTTAGATGTAGAGGATTTTCCTAACCCATTTTACAGAGAAGAACATGGATGCTCAGAGAATTTAAGTAACTTACCCAAAGCCATCTGGTAGGAAAACAGAGAAAACTTGACCTCACATCTTCCTAAGTCAACCTGGTGCTCTCTCCACACCAAAATGCCTCTCTTAGGACACAGGCAGAGCCAGGAAATGTTCGCTAGAAATGCATTCCATCACTGTGGCCTTCCAAAGCCAACATTCTCATCTCCTTTCCAAGCCCACTCTCTTCCCAAGATTTCCTGTTGAAGCTCTGTTCTGTCCCACCCATCACACTCCTAGGGTCTGGTCCTGGACCTGGTACGCATGCGACTTGGGTTACCTAGATTCTCCACTTGGGTCACACATATGTGATTCTGCCTCACATGGGTACATGAGTGTGTGTGTGAATCTTCTCCCCATCGGTTAAGGACCACTGAGCTCATTGATGAATGCAGGGCCCTCCTGGGTACGATGGGGAAGAACAGAGGCATAGAAATCCCAAATTAAACTGAGTCTCCAGAGCCTAGCACTTAGGGCTACACAGAAGGGCTTGATATCACCATTAAGTACCAAATAAATATATGCTCAGTACCCCCAAGCTCCTAGCTTTGCATTCCTTCCTTAGCCCAGCGACCTCTGAAGAATCCCTGTGCCCTGCCTGTTGCTCTCTGAGTGCAAAGTTAGGTGTTATTACCTTTCAGTGCCTAAAACCAACACCCTCCTCCATTCTCCTGGCCAGAATGCCACCACTGCAAAGTTCCCTCAGTTCTCAGGCCCCATCAACTCAGTTAATCCCATTCCATCACACAGATGATGCCATGAATGGAACCTGAGGCAGGGAGGAGGGGCTGGAGTTAGGGGTTGGGACCACACGGATGGTGCTGATGAGCACCGAGGAGATCAGTGGCATTCCCATCAGCTGTTTCTTTCACCTCTAAAGTGCCCACCAAACCTGCCTGACTTCAGACTATACTACAAAGCCACAGTCATCAAGACAGTATGGTACTGGCACAAAGACAGAAATATAGATCAATGGAACAGAATAGAAAGCCCAGAGATAAATCCACGAACCTATGGTCACCTTATCTTCGACAAAGGAGGCAAGGATATACAATGGAAAAAAGACAACCTCTTTAACAAGTGGTGCTGGGAAAACTGGTCAACCACCTGTAAAAGAATGAAACTAGAACACTTTCTAACACCATACACAAAAATAAACTCAAAATGGATTAAAGATCTAAATGTAAGACCAGAAACTATAAAACTCCTAGAGGAGAACATAGGCAAAACACTCTCTGACATAAATCACAGCAGGATCCTCTATGACCCACATCCCAGAATTTTAGAAACAAAAGCAAAAATAAACAAATGGGACCTAATGAAACTTAAAAGCTTTTGCACAACAAAGGAAACTATAAGCAAGGTGAAAAGACAGCCCTCAGATTGGGAGAAAATAATAGCAAACGAAGCAACAGGCAAAGGATTAATCTCAAAAATATACAAGAAACTCCTCCAGCTCAACTCCAGAAAAATAAATGACCCAATCAAAAAATGGGCCAAAGAACTAAACAGACATTTCTCCAAGGAAGACATACAGATGGCAAAAAAACACATGAAAAGATGCTCAACATCACTCATTATCAGAGAAATGCAAATCAAAACCACAATGAGGTACCATTACACGCTAGTCAGGATGGCTGCTATCCAAAAGTCTACAAGCAATAAATGCTGGAGAGGGTGTGGAGAAAAGGGAACCCTCTTACACTGTTGGTGGGAAAGCAAATTAGTACAGCCACTATGGAAAACAGTGTGGAGATTTCTTAAAAAGCTGGAAATAGAACTGCCATATGACCCAGCAATCCCACTTCTGGGCATACACACCGAGGAAACCAGATCTGAAAGAGACACGTGCACCCCAATGTTCATTGCAGCACTGTTTATAATAGCCAGGACATGGAAGCAACCTAGATGCCCATCAGCAGACGAATGGATGAGGAAGCTCTGGGACATATACACCATGGAATATTACTCAGCCATTAAAAAGAACTCATTTGAATCAGTTCTAATGAGATGGATGAAACTGGAGCCCATTATACAGAGCGAAGTAAGCCAGAAAGATAAAGACCATTACAGTATACTAACACACATATATGGAATTTAGAAAGATGGTAACGATAACCCTATATGCAAAACAGAAAAAGAGACTCCGATGTATAGAACAGACTTGTGGACTCTGTGGGAGAAGGCGAGGGTGGGATGTTTCAAGAGAACAGCATCGAAACATGTATATTATCTAGGGTGAAACAGATCACTAGCCCAGGTTGGGTGCATGAGACAAGTGCTCGGGCCTGGTGCACTGGGAAGACCCAGAGGGATCGGGTGGAGAGGGAGGTGGGAGGGGGGACCGAGATGGGGAATACATGTAAATCCATGGCTAATTCATTTCAATGTATGACAAGAACCACTGCAATGATGTAAAGTAATTAGCCTCCAGCTAATAAAAATAAATGGAAAAAAAAAAAATAAAGTGCCCATCAAAGCAACGCCCCTGTTGCCCTGAGGTGTCATGAAGCACAAATGAGGAGAGAACAGGAGAATTGGAGAAGCCACAATAAGGCTTCAGTCCTAAATCAGAGTTTATGACCAAGTCCATCCACTACTGTTTCTTTCTTTCTCCAACTGTAGGTCTTAACCTTGCAGGACCATCACTGCAGCTCCTCAGAGAGCCACGGAAGGGAGGTGAGGCTCAAATTAATCCAAGGAGAACTGCTGGGAGCTGCATAGAGCAAAAGGTCAGCTAAAACCCTGCACGGATCCTCAGACGCCATATTTGAAGTCCAGGAGTTTCCAAGACCAAAGGGTGACTGACTTCTCTGTTCTCATTTCCATCAACAAGGAAAACATAGTTGCAGTCACTGGAAAAGGTACTAGACTAGGAGCTAGGGGAGCAGAGTCCAGGCCAGACTACATCTCTTACCTGCTGTGTGTCTGTGAGTGAGTCACTAAACTTCTCTGTTCTCAACCTTAAAGCAGAGTGTTGAATGGGGCAGTCTTTTTTTAATTATTATTATTTTAATTTTTTAAATTGTGGTATAATGTATGTAATAAAGAAAACTGAGCGCCAATGAACTGATGCTTTTGAACTGTGGTGTTGGAGAAGACTCTTGAGAGTCCCTTGGACAGCAAGCAGACCCAACCAGTCCATCCTGGAGGAAATGAGTCCTGAATATTCACTGGGAGGACTGATGCTGAAGCTGAAACTCCAATACTCTGGCCAGATGATTGGAAGAACTGTCTCACCAGAAAAGACCCTGATGCTGGGAAAGAGTGAAGGAAGGAGGAGAAGGGGATGACAGAGGATGACATGGTTGGATGGCATCAGTGACTCAACGGACATGAGTTTGAGCAAGCTCTGGGAGTTGGTGATGGACAGGGAGGCCTGGTGTGCTGCAGTCCATGGGGTTGCAAAGAGCCGGACTCGATCGAGTGACTGAACTGAACTGACTGAATATAATATATAAGATACAATTTACTATTTTAACCATTTTAAGTTTACAGTTTAGTAGCATTAACTATTGATATATGCACACAGTTGTGTATCCATCTGGACAAGACAGTCTTAAAGTCTCTGCCAGTTTTAACATTCTGGGCTTCTGTGTAGTACATTGCAACACATCTTCTTTATCTGCTTGCCCATATTCTATTTATAACCTGCAGTGTATGTGCCCTTCTCTTCCCCCTTTAGTCGATCTGTAAAAATAGGAAGGGTCTGGATGTGTTGATCTGGAATTGAGTGGATTAAAAGCAAATCTTTTCTTCCTTTTGCTTCCTCTAATCTAAGGTGGCAGGTGGCGCTGACTCACACCAGCCTCACTAGATGGTTGGAGACTGGAGGTGAGCTGGTAAAACCCATGGGGCAGAGAGGACGGGGCACAAACCACAGGCCCAGGTGGGTTCTCACCACAGGTTCCCCTGCCCCACCCTCACCAGCAGCTGCTCCTGCCAAGCTTTGGGACCCACCAGGCTCTCCACCTCCAAGTTCACAGCCTGAGCGACAGAGTAGCCGTGGGGATGATCATCCCAGTGGAGATAATAATAATAAGCCCTCGCAGCTGTATGACAAGGGGTGATGGTCTAGTGGAATGAGACTTGGAATCGGATTTGGGTTTGGAGCTGGGTTTCTCTGCCAAAACCCACCAATGCCATCTCAGCTCATTCAACTGGGTGACCATCTCTGCCAAGGCTTCAGCCGAGTGGCCCCCCTCCCTTCCAGCCCCTGCAGTGTTCTTCACATATACCAACCAACCACAGTCCTTCCTGGGGCCTCTGCACACACCCCCACCTCCAGCCCCTTGCCCAGAATGGTCTTCTGCAGAACTCAGTTTTTGCAGGTCTTTGCTCAAATGCACTGTATTAAAGAGACCTTGACTGACCCTCCTGTTCCAAAGGAGCACCCCTACACCACAATGCCACATCCCCTTCATTACCGCCTGTAACTGTAGGTATTT